TGTGAGAGAGATAGAGAGAGAGAGAGATTCTGTTGATCTCCTTCTTTCACATCATATCCTGAGGCTGTAAAGTTGGTTCAAGGTTTAATGAAGTTGGGTGAAGATCCCACTCTGTATAAATGTGGTCCATCCCTGCCTCCACCAACCACGGTGTTTGGAACTAAAGACTTCTTTCCAGGAGAAGGAAAACAGGATCATTTTAGACGAGTGAAGAAGAAGCATCTAGAACAATTCTCTCCATTGTCTATATAAATGGTCAACCCATGGCCCAGGGGAAAAATGATGGGCCGCTGATGTCAGAAGATCACAGATTCAAACTCCCTGGTCACTTCTGAAGGCGATTGCTGCCCCCCAGAAATGGGTTGATGGTTCAAATACAGAACACACATGACTGTATATGAGGCAGAAGTGAGTCTTCTTCTCAGTGTGAAGTCTCCATCAGCTGACAGTGGGTCTCTAGACCTTTCCATCTCTCTGTCTCTTTCTGATTTTTCATTCACACCACATTCACACCTCTGGCCTCTGGTTCAGAGTGAACACTGACCTAATCTCCAATTTAAATGTTTTTGTCCTGTGGAGGAAATTGAAAATAAAAACAAAGGCTCAGGGAGCAGAGTTTAGGAAAATCATGATTCAGAGATGTTATGTTGAGGTGATTTTTAATCAGAGCAGTTTATTTTCAGGTTTTTCTTCGTCACCTCCATCTGAACCTCGTGAAACTGGAGCAAAGAGGATTTTTTTTTAAAAACATTTTTTGGTTGAGTGTTAACCACGAGGTTAAAGGCCACGGGCAGATTCCTCAGCTGACACTGAATTATCTGCTGTCTAAGTGAATTAAGGGCATTTTCCTGGATATTTGGAACAATCACAGCCATTCATGTTCGATGCTGCTCTGAAAAAGAGGATTGCTGCCCCGCGCGCACACACGCGCACACAACACAATTAGGTTGAATAGGGCATCACTTTATAAATGGAATCCAGCAAATTGAGACAAACAGGAAAAATGAGAATGGATGACACACACACACACACACACACACAGAGATCTTTGTGTGTGGTGACTAAATCACATAAACCGATCTCTGGCCTCGTACTCCAACCTTCACAGAGGAATCTCTTCTCTTCATTCTTACACTAACTCTAATTCTAATCCTGACTTTTCAAACTTCAAATCCTCCGTCTGTGAGAGGAGACCTGAGACATGTCCTCACAAGTTGGATAGTTTTCAAAAGACAACAGCACAACACACACACTCTCTCTCTCTCTCTCTGTCTCTCTCTCTCTCACACACACACACTTCATCCCTCCTAAGTGAATTAACAGTGTCACTAATTGCAGTGACTCCGTTTTTTTACAGACACGTGAGTTTGGCACGAGATGCAGTGCTGTAATCCAGTGACACACACACAGACACACACGCACACACAATAATACATACAAAATATATGTGAATACATGTCATTTATTTCTTCTTCAAATATATAAAACTGTTGACCTGAAGGATCCAGAAAAAACTACTTTATGACAAACTAATGAAATGGCAGCTGACCCTTTACAGAGACTTCATCATCATCATCATCATCATCATCACCACATGACATGATCACATCACCACCATCACATCCTCGGAGAAAATCAGATATTTGTTTTTGATTCAGTCACACGCACATTCCTGACATTTTCCTGCTCAAACAAAACAAACAAACATTTTATTCCACAGTCACAAAATCAGCAGATGGAATAAAACATCATCTGGATTAAATCAAACTCTGTTCATTTACACACACACACACACACAACCAAAGTGACGGTCAGTCCTGGAGTGACTCTGCGGTCCTGGCAGTCGTCCACCAGTCATTATCATTCCTGCTCCTCCTCAGGTCTGAGCCGACCTGGTCTGCTACAGTCACACCTCTGTTCCAGGTTCAGCCTGTGTTCGGACCAGAACCATTCATTGTTCACACACTAAGTGCATATCTGCAGGTCCTGTGACTTCTGTCCCGAGGGACTCGAACAGGGTGGAAAAAAATCTTAGCAGATGAAGATATGAACTCCGTGTGTGTTTTGGATTTAAATCATTTGGTCATTATTATTATGAATATCATTATTTTATCAATAATTGTTCAGAATTTCAGATTCTGTTTGGCTGAGGAGCTCATCAGTGTTAACTAATTACCCAAGTTCATTTACCCACAACCCCTAACATGACCACAGAGGTTTGACTGGTTATCATCAGCTCACCACCAACCAAACCTACGACCGACTCTGAGCCTCAGGCTCCAGTGCACTGTAGACTCTTTGGAGTTTTACTAGTGTTTGACAAACACAACAGCCTGCAGGTGACAGATGTGTTGTTGTATCAGACACGCTGTAGCTCTGTTCATATGAAACACACAGAAATGTCAAGTCAATGTTGGAGTCATAAATATGTAGACCGTGACCAACAGTCTATGGGGACAGCTCCAGGTCTTTAGGAGTTGACCAATAAACAGAAGAACCTACCACCGACCTGTTCCCAATTTAACCTTCAGAACAAAGAGACAATATCTGTGTATTATCTCACTAACAGCTGCAGCTGGTCCACGACTCACATAACCCTGAGATGTTTCAGTTCTTCTGATTGGACCTTTGTCAGTGGTAACACAGATCAGAAGCTCTCATGATCACACTGACCAAACTGATCACACTGACCAAACAGATCACACTGACCAAACTGATCACACTGACCAAACAGATCACACTGACCACACTGACCAAACTGATCAAACTGATCAAACTGATCAAACTGATCAAACTGATCAAACTGATCAAACTGATCAAACTGATCAAACTGATCAAACTGATCAAACTCAACCACTGAACAGGCAACACCCTTGTAGAGGCAGTGTTGTTCAAACATCTCTGTCCGACCACATGTTGTGTCAGATGTTAATTTCCAGGATTCTAATCCCAGCTCAGACAACTGACATTACACACATCACCGTGACTTTGATGCAGTACAGACTAGTACAAAAATACTCACACTTTTGTATAAAGTATAAAAACAAGTACTGAGGCAGTTGAAGAACTTCATTTGTTATCGATGGCAGTTTAAGTGGCAGCGTCAGCCTGACTACAGACTGTGGAGATCCTTCAGTCCACACACGTGATGTCATCAGTGAGAATGAACCCATCAGTCCTGCTGTCGTCCCATCTTCACTCTGGAGTATTTTCCTAGAACACTCTAGTTTTGAGGGAGAAAACGTGTTAGTTAAACCTGTGGAGTCTAAAACCTGAGGGGGGTGAGGCTGAGGGAGGGGTCTAAGGGGGTTGAAGCTCAGGTGGGTGGAGGCCCGTTGATGTATCTTAGTGTCAGGTGGTAGCCGTGTGTCAACCTGCTGCTACGATGACACGGTGAGTCCTGGACCAACGCCATCAACACGGCAAGCACGACCACAGCTGCTGCCAGGAGGACGAAGAGGAGGCGGGAGTGCAGGCCAATAGGAGAGGAGGAGCTGAGGATGGGTGAGGCTGTGCTGGAGGTCACACTGTGAAGTGAGATGAGGTGAAGGTGTTGGTAAAGGGTAAGAACAAAGTTCCTGGAACTAAATGATTTAGATTTTGTAGAGCATGCAGCTCCTCTGTCTCCCCTGTAGGTGGTGCAGATGCAACAACAGGAAGCTGCGTGTCAGCAGCAGAACACTGTACAGTTCTGTGAAAGTTATAGCCATTAACTCAGTGATTGACAGGCAGCCTGGTTATCAGGAGGTCAACAGAGGTCAGGGTCATCTGTGTGAGGTTGTTTGTCTCTTCTCACCTGTGTTCGGACAAACAGCAGTCGTCCTCCTCACAAAAAGAAAAGTCTTCAACCTGGACAATAACAAACATGTATCTGTCAACGCCCAGCCAAGTCATAGACAGTGTGTCTTTGTGTGTATATGCACATATATAAGTCTCACCTTCAGCTCCTCTTCAGTCTGAACTGCTCTGGAACAGACGCTCAGATTCCCAGGAGGGGCGGGGCTCTGGTCTCCCAGCCACGCCCTCAAACGCCTGCCCTTCAGACTGACCTGCTCACCGTCTGGTCTGTCCGGTGTGGAGGTCACACACTGATCTCTGATCAGCCACGGTTCCACCAGCCCAGGAGCTGCAGCTGAGAAGACGTCAGTGTGGTCCAGACATGGGCTTGGCTGTGACAGAACAACAAAACCTTTTCCATGATATTGTTTATTTGTGTTATTATTGTTTATTCCTTACTTTGTAGAAACCAACAAGATGAGTGTGTATGTATAAACGCAGTGTGTATACACACACACACACAATAACCAAAGACTCACTTGGTCAGTTTCCTGGTTTGTGATGTCATTGCTGATGCCAGACCAGCTGCTGAGGGAACTGAGGTAACTCCACCTCTTCAGGTCATCTCCGTTACACTGTCCTACAACACACACACACACACACACACACACACACACGCAGAGTGAAGTCAGTCGTACCTGTGTCTGAGAAAGTGTTCTCTCCACTGTACCTGTGCTGATGCTGAAATACGATGAGTCAGCGTCGTTGCAGGAAACAGAACGACCGATATCCACTGAGGGGTCCCATTCCAACCCAAGGTGCTCATGGGTAGGAGAGGAGGATGACGGGGGAAGTGGGTGGTGAACGGGTGAGGGCAGTTCTAACGGTACAGTTATGGCAGAGTTTGATTGGCTGAATTCTGAGGGAGATTTTGGAGATGAGTGGTTGGTGACTGACAGGCTGGTTATCAACTGTAGTTAAACTGTTGTGTTTAGTTAACAGACTACCAACAACAGCTCACCTCCAAGACGGGCTGGAGGAGGAGCAGAGTCAGGCCGAGGTTTATCAAACACAGGCTCCTCCTCAATAGGGGTCTCTGAGGGACAACCTGAGTCTGAGGCCTGGGACAGGATCCAGTCGTCTTCAAACACCTGGGGGGGAGACAGGAGGAGAGGGCAGGGGAGGGGGGGTGTAGGAGGAGAGAGGAAGAAGAGAGAGGGGAGTTAGAGGAGTCAGGTGAGAATGGCCCGGTGGTTGTGTGTGTGCGTACCAGTCTCATGCTGAGGAGTCGCGTGTGTGTCCGTGCAATGTTGTTGTAGACATGGCTGCAGTGGCGCAGCAGCTCCAGCAGGCGGCACTCTACTCGCTGTGCGTCACTCGCCTCGCTGCGCTGGATCAACTCCTCACCGTGCTGCAGGAGTGTGTTTACACGGCCAGAGTTCTCACACACACATTTCTGGAAGGACTACACACAAACACACACACAGACATGTGAGAAAACATTTTTCTTTATGACACAGTTCCAACAAACAGTTCCGCCAGACATTTAATAACAGGGAGTCAAACCTCTGACCAAGCCTCTGGCTACACAACAAACTAAACCTGGATTGTTTTGGTTCAACCTAGAACATCGACACCTGGCAAGTAGACAAGAACTGGAGCAGGTGAAGAAGAACAGCCAGTGACAGAGGAGGCTGGTCAAGTTCTGTTCCTGGACCTGTCTGATCCAATCAGCAGGGGGCGACACCACTTCTATCTACAGCTGTAAGGAACACCACACACCTGCAGCTGCCTCAGTTTTTCACAGGTGTTTTCATTCAGGTGGTCCACTTCAGTCAGACGGACCTCCAGGTTAGTCAACCACAGAGCAAGCTCCTCCCCCTCCGCTTCAAACTCCTCCCACTCTGAGACCAAGCTCTTGAGGACAAAAGAAATCATCATTTTAAAGATGTGAAGAGGTCACTAATAAAACAGTCAGGTTCCTCCCACACTGACCTTTAACCTCGCTCTGGTGGACTCCAGTTTGGCGTTCACTTGGTCCCATCGTTGGCCACAGTCCCTCGCCGATGCCAACAGTCGAGCCCTCATGGCACCACGGAAGAGTCGGGTCAGCGTTCGATTTCTGTGAGTCAGACTGTCTAACTGAACCAGTCGAGGCCCTGCCTCATACTGCAGCCTCTGCACACGCACACACACACACACAGACACACACACACACAGACACACACACACACAGACACACACACACACAGACACACACACACACAGACACACACACACACAGACACACACACACACAGACACACACACACACACGCGCGCGCACACACAGAATGTGAATGGTTGTTTGTTTGACTTAAACAATGTTTAAATGTTGTTGGAAATGTTGACCTGATTACACGTTATGTTTCCTAGCTCGTATTAAAGATGAATGACTATTCTTAGGGACTTGTTGACAGTGGTGTGTAACAGTGTACGTGTGTCATTGGTTCTCCTCCACGTTCTCCCTCAGATGTGTGGAATGTGTTCTGTAAAAGGTCACTGACCTCAAGCATCCTCAGTTCTTCTTTGGCAGCACTGTAGGTCACATGGAAGTTTGGAGAAGTCACGGCCTGTTCAGCCAATCGCAGCCAAGCATCCAGTTGTTGGTGTTCCTTCATGAACTCATGCCAGAGGAGCCAGCGTGTCTCCAGTCTGGGAGGACAGAAGCAGTCAGTGCAGTCGGTTTAAGACTCCAGACTCTTCAGTGTTGTTAACGTCCTGTCGCGAGTGTGACTTCACAACATGTTTACGTTTATGTTATTACTGTGATGTCATCAGCAGATACAGTTGTGTATGTATTTATTTGGACTTTGCAAATGAAAAGTCCAAATGTTATTGCTGTTATCAACAAACAGCCTGAGACACTGAGGCTGAAGAAGACCTTTATCAGGACCAACCATCAACCAATGACATGGTTTATGACAGCGGCGGCAGCGGGAGCAGCAGACGCCACAGCACCAGCAAGAAGCACAA